GCATGCCTGTGCGGTGTGAGCCACCTTGCTCCGCTTTCCAAAGAAGTGTGGCGATCAGCTGGGCCCCAGATGAGATGCCAGCGCTCCCTTTTCCAAAGCCCAGCTCACACGGGCGGCAAGAGCACCCGGCAAACCGCTTGCTGTACGCAGGCTGCTTTTCCAGAATGAGGCATCTCTCGCTAGACTGTGCAATTTGCTTTTTAATGTCCTTCAAAGTTTTATTTCTGAGATCAAATCAAAATTGATCCTAAGGGCAGGCAGATAGATAAAGTTGCTACTGTGTAGTTTTGAGTCACTCGGTTACTGGCTTTGAGTCACTCTATATGGATTGTGCCATCTTTCTGGCTCTTAAACACAATGTTTGCACAGCTTTGTAGAATCTAGCTGGGGTGTTTTCTCTTTGAGCTGATTTTCCGCTCCGATTATGCAAAGAGATAATGCTCCATTTCAGGTGAATGCTGGGCAATTAAGATTGCGGGAGGCACAACCATCATTGTGGTTTGATCAGAGAGTCACGCAGATATATGTAGGTTTGGCACAGCAGACCTATCCACACCGCAAGGCAGATTTTACTGTGAATATGAGCATTTTCAGAGTGACCATGTGACCTCACGTGTAACAGACAAGGTTTGTCCCTTGCATTTCAGAAAACCTACTGCAGTGTTATAAAGATGCGGGAATCTGATAAACAGTCACAAGATTCATGTGAGCCAGGGAGGCTTCATGGCTGTTTGCTCATCTAAATGAGAGATTGACAATAAATTGATTTAAAAAAAAAAAAAGAAAAGAAAAAGGAAAAATCACATATTTGGTTGTTAAAAGCTTGAGTCAACTGGAAATGCCGAGACCAAATGGAGATTAGGCTACATGGATATTTGTGGATACCAGCGCTGAACTGGTTGGGGCTGCGCCAGTGTCGGAAAGGAGCAGACAGAAACTGCTGAAAATAAAAGCAAATGTCAGGAGGCAACTAATAAAGTGATTTGTTATTGACCCTGTTGGATTTTTGTGCAGAGTACCAGTTGGGTGTCTGTCCCTGGAGCTCTGCACCCTGAATGGGGGTGCAGGGCACATGAGCAAAACTACTGGTGCCTGTCCTGCCTGCAGCCTGGCAGAGACACGCGTTTGTCAGTGCAGTGATGCTTGAGCCTGTGCTCCACTCCAGCAGCCGTTCGTCTGTGCTGCTTTGTATCTGTGCCTGGTCCTGGAAGAGGGAACTGCCTGCTCTTGCTGGCTTGGCCTCTCTTCACAGAAACGGGACTCTGGGCAGTCCTGCTGCTAGAGGTATGACCGCCTCTTTCACCACACTGTGCAAGGGGTGGGTTGGCCATATTTGTAGAATATGAAGTGCTGAGCTGTGTGTCTGTACTCATGCTTCAGCCCTGGGAGGCTCTGTGCGCCACACAGTGCGGGTGGGGGCTGCAGACCCCATGTCAGAGCATCCAGAGAAGGACTGGAGTCGTGCAGAGAGAGGAGAAAGGCATAGTAATAGCACGAGAAACCCACTGACCCCATTGAACACCACTGTCCTCCCCCTGTTTCTGGCCAGGTTCTCAGCCTTATGTAACTGAGTCTACCTATGTCTCCAGAGCCACATTTTTTCCCCTCTTGGCAGCAGGCTTCCACCATGCCCTCCCCTGAACCCCACTGCTGTGTGCAGTATTACGGGTAGAGCTCTGGTTGCATCAGATTCGGGGTTGTTGCTAGGCAGAACACATCGTCCTTGAGGCCTCCCAATGCCAACATTTCACCCTGGCGGGGCTGCAGCATGACAAGAGATGGGGCCAGCTGGGGGAAGTGAGAAAATAACCTATAGGTGCTTGGAGAGGGCCTGCATGAACTCCTGAACGTTGCTCATGTCAGGCTTCAGTAAAAAGAAGAGAGAAAATATCCTGGAACTGTGCAGCTCTCAGCAGGAGAGAGTCCAATCAGCTTCAATACAAGACATTTCTGTGAAGTGGTTTTGAAAGGTGCCATTCATTGTCCAAAGCCCCCAGGGGGTGGCTGCTGTGGGATGCTTGCCAGCCAGTCGGGGACTGGGGACCCTGGCTGCACCCTGCCGTCTCCCAACCTGCCTCCAGCCCCAAGTCCCTCACCCCGACCGTGGCCGCAGCAGTGCCCACTGCAGCACTGTGATCATGGCTCCCGACCAGCGTCACCCTAGCCCTGACGCTGAGGGAAGGCGCCGCTGCTGGCACCTGGGGAGGTGCAGCCTTATTGCTGGTGGTGTAGTGAGCATGGGCTGAGCACAAGTGGTCCTTCCTCCTCGTACGCAAGGCGTAAACAGGCAAAAATCACAGTGATGGCTGGCCTCTGCAATGAAGGTGTCAGCAGTCCGTTTGCAGGAAGATTAGCAGGACCCTTCTCGTCCCTGAGCAACAATTTGATCTCCGGCCATTTGCTGCCAAGGCGGTAAGGGAAGACTTGGAGCAGCCCTTCGAAGACAGGGAGGGTGCAGATGCCTCTCTTATTTACCCCAGGCCTGCAGGAGGCAAGGGACAGGAAGGCAGAGATTTTGCATCACTTAGCAAAAAAGGGCCTTCTGGGAATGGTGTCATCTGTGCTTTGCGGTACCATCAGAGAGGGAAGAATTGCATCATTTCTGTTAGCTGCCAAAATTATGAGTTTGCTTGGGCCTTACAACAAAAAAAAAAAAGAAAAAGAAAAAGAAAAAAACCACCCAAACCCATGGCAACTTGAGCTTCCTTTAACCCTTCAGGTCCTGGTGCCTCCAAGATACTGGCTAGGGAAGTGCCTGCCTCTCTTCAGCCTATGGAGGAAGATGTCTCCTGATTGTAATGATGCCACAAACTGTCCTTTCTCAGCTGGTGCGTTGGGAGCCTAGAGCCTTGGGGGTTAAGACAGACTGATGCTTTCCGCACAGTTTGGGGTCTATCAATCCACTCTTAGTGCATTACAAGGTGTTAGGGCCAGAATACCTGGACTCTGTGCAGATTTTCTCCCCGCAGTCTTTGAGGACTGAGGGAAGCGGTGCAAAAGGGTGGCAGCCCAGGGCCTCCAGGAAGCCAAGCTGTGACCCTCTGTAGGCTGCCCCCAGAAAGGGTTAATGTGCAGGCATATTCCAGGTGTTTGAAGTGACCACAGTTGCAATGGGGAGGAGAGGGCGTTTTTGGGTGGGGAGAGCAGCCCTCTCTGTGAGCCAATGGCAAAACGATTCAGTCTCAACGCCCAGTTTTGGGGCTTATTTCATGGGCAAGAATTCCCAGGAATTTCCTCTCAAGGGGATTTGTCCTGGATGAAAAGTAGGGACTCGACCCCCAAGCTTGTTGGTGTCTCCCTCTCTGTGCTGTAGAAGGTAAAGTACTATGCTCTGGTACATTGCTTCTTTCAGGGGGAGAAGTGGGGAGATCTTCCCTGGCTGCCTGCGTTGAAGGCATCCATTGTGCCTGTGTCTGCAACTCCCCTTTGCATAAGAACCATGTTGCAGGGTGGTGTGAAGGCTCTGCGGGGACAGACTCTGCACCATGCATTTGGGACTCAGCCCTGCTGTTGAACTGAGATATATGGCTCATTTCTCTGTTCAGTTTTCTGCAGCCCTGCTGCATGTTTCTTCAGCTGCCTTTCTTTTGGTAGAAAGGAGACCCAGCAGGGCTCAGGACCTCAGCAGAGAAGCTGAAGTCTTGCTTTGTGGCCCTGTTAGATCAGCCTGAGTTGCTATAAACAGGCTAATGAGGCATCGCTGGCAGAGTAACTGGAGCAGTGTGGGGCATCCCTAGGTGCAAACTTCACTGAAGCAGTGAGAAATTCGTTCAGATGGCCAATCCTGCCTGAAGCCGGCAGCGCTACAGCCCTTCCAGCTCCATCTCTGCAGCAAGGAAGGGGTAGCTGTGTTGTGAATGTCTGTGAGCATGGGGCTAAGGAACTGCCATCAGGAAAGGGCCACTGTTCACGGAATTGCTGTTTATAGCAAGATTACAAAATAGTGTGCCAGTATCAGCAAGAATGGGCTTAGTGGCTCAGGTCTCTGCCTTTCCTGTGCCTTGTCCCTAACCTTCTGCAGGTGGAAAGCCTTGAGCCAGCAGCAGTTCGTAAGTAAAGCTTTTGCTTGCTGGGTCTGGCTTGTACTCTGGGTATACATGCTGGGGTCACTTTTGTGTGCATTTTAGGGCCTAGAAGACAGCTGTTCCTCTGCTGTGCCTTGCTGGTTACCCAGCCTCGGGCAGGACTACAGGCCCTTTGCTTCAGGCAGTGCCACCTCCCTGATTGCCCTCTTGGCCGTACAGGTTTTGCTTCCTTTTCTAAGCACTGCCTTTTGATCTAGGGTCTCTGGGCTGGGCTGTTTTTCCCTGTTGCTCTGCTGACAGAGGCAAGTGTCCGTAACTTATACCCTGCCACCTCCCAGTGCACCCCGTAACGTTGGACCAGAACTACCTTTTGGCATCTGAGATTTGATTTAAACAGCGCTGCATTTCTGTCTGCAGACTGGAGGGACATTCTGGATGTGAACACGCACAGTGGGCTGATCCTTGTGGTTGCAGCTTGAGGTGTGCAAGTTGATAGCTAGGGGGGAGTTGAGGGTGACCTGGCCCTTCTGTCAGGGGAACGCTGAATCTGCAGTCAAGCAGTGACTACAACATAGTGCTAACTCTTGGCTGCTGGCTTTAGTGGGACCTGCTCCTCCTCAGCACAGCAAGTCCCTGCCAGGCAGTGGCGCAGCTAGCACAGAGAGGTGCCTTTATCTTTCTCACTGTGTTGTGCTCTCACTTACATCTGGGGTTTCACTCCATCCCGGCCCTGAATACAGCCTTGCTGCTGCTGACTGAGTGGTCCATAGGCAGTAGGTAGGGTCTACAGCTTTCAGAGAGTCATAGGCTGTCCCCCTAAATTGGCAGATCCCTTTTGTGGCATATGTTAATTAAGCCCAGATAATCAACTTCACACTGACAGCTCTCAGGATGGACTCGTACCTGATCCAAGTGAATGGCCACGGAGATCATGCCCCTATGCTGGATGTTCATCTCAAGACCAACGGGAACAGCATATCGCCGGGGAAGGTGAAGGGCCGGAAGCCAAGATGGGCTGTCAGGGCTTCTGAAATGTCAAAGAAGACCTTCAATCCTGTCCGAGCCATCGTAGACAGCATGAAGGTGGAGCCTAACCCAAAGAAAGCTATGATCTCCTTGTCCTTAGGTGAGCATAGTGTTGTGGTTGAAGCCTCTGGGCAATGGGGTCGACTGTGTGGCTGGCAGATTGCAGAGCTCTGAAGCACAAAGCTCTGTGCCTGTCACAGATCAGTAAGAACTTTCCTATTTTTTCTTTGAAAAGGAGACCCAACGGTCTTTGGAAACCTTCCCACAAATGATGAGGTCACACGGGCTGTGAAGGAGGTTTTGGACTCAGGACGTTACAACGGTTATGCTCCATCTGTTGGTAAGTTGAGAAAGCTCTTCCTGTGAGAGCAGGATGAAAGCGTGTGCCCGCTCCTACAGCACAGCAGGTATATGTAGCCAGTGGATATCTTTGCAGTAGCGTCCTGCAGCTGCCCTCACCAATAGTCCCATGAGAACACAAGCATGTGTATCCCCCAGATGTCCCGGAGTGCCCTTCCCTGCATGATCTGTTTGAGGCCCAGAGCCTCCTGCAGCAGCTGTGTTTGCTCCCCCAGCCATCAGAGCAGGGAGGGTTTCAGGCACCCAGAAGGGCTCAGGACTGTGTCTCCCTGCCGTGGGTTGCAGGCAAGTTCCTTTCTGGTCTGCCTTGGCCAGGAGTCCCCCTGGGCTCCCTGACCTCACAGACAACATGAGCCCTGTTTGCAGTTAGTGCAAAAAGCATGCACAGAGCATAGATCACACTTGCCTCACAGCACACTCCGCGTGGTGACAGGGTGGCTGCCCCTGTGCTGTCACTGAACAGTGAAAGCCATGTTCAGTGCTCTTGGCCTTCCTGGCCCAGCCTCGGGGCTGCATGGTGCTTGGCCTGAGGCAGGACAGTCTGCCACCTTGGGACGGTGCCCCCTGGCTGGGTGGCAGCTGTGAGCCTTGTACTGGCAAGAAAAAGGAAATGATCTGTAAAAACCTCCCTTCCATGTTTGGCTTCTCTTCCCCTGGGCTACCAGTCCTGCCGGGAAGCCGTGGCCGCATACTACAACTGCCCAGAGGCACCACTGGAGGCCCAGGTACTGGTGCCCATCTGGGGTGCTCCCATGGTAGTGCAGGCAGGGCACTGCTGCCCATGCCTTGACCACATGGCATGGGGACCTTGCCCCAGCTTGCTCCCTGCCCTGCCCAGCTGTGGGACTGAAGGCTAGCCCATGGCCTTGTCCCACAGCCCCCTACTGCTGCTCTCATGCCCTGTCCTGAGCATTTCTCCTCCACTCTCTTTGAGAGGAGGCTGAGCTCTCCAGCTGTTGGAGGTTTCCTGCTTTCAGTCAGGCTCTTGACTTGTCTTTTTGGCTGAGAAGCTCTCACCTGGCAGAGCCTGGGCATTATGTCACTCCCATGTGGCCGGGGCACTTCAGAGTGGCTGTGCTTCCCACTGACTGCTGTGTGCTCTTTGCAGGATGTCATCTTAACGAGTGGCTGCAGCCAGGCCATAGAGCTTGCCTTGGCAGTGCTGGCCAACCCAGGCCAGAACATCCTGGTGCCACGGCCCGGCTTCTCCCTCTACAAGACTCTGGCATTGTCTATGGGGATTGAAGTCAAACTCTACAATCTCTTGGTAAGTGGTGGGAGGACTAGAAGGGGCAGCCCTGACATTCCTGCCTCTCAGAAATACCCTGGCCCTGCCTGGGAAGTGGGTGAAGATTACCTGAGCTATCCTGGGCACTGTCACACCTCACCCTGTGTGGCAAGTCCAGTTCCTCAGCTGTTACTTCCCCTTCTCTTCACTTCACTAGCCAGAGAAGGGCTGGGAAATTGATTTGGAGCACTTGGAGTCTCTGGTGGATGAGAAGACAGCTTGCCTCATTGTGAACAACCCGTCCAACCCCTGCGGCTCTGTGTTCAGCAAGAGCCACCTCCAGAAGATCCTGGCAGGTGAGCCAGTCTAGTGTCTGCCCACATTGCCCACTGCAGCACCATGGGCCAGGGCTTTGCTTCTCTCCTCGTGCCTCAGGAAGCAGGGCTTGCTCAGTGTGAAGGTGTTGCCTTACCTGGGCAAGAACATGCTGAGCGTGTGTCTTGCTCTTCCTCAAATGCTCTGTGTGGCTTGGACCGCTCATTTGTCCACTCTGGCTCTGCAGAGGGAGAATGTTCATAGGGAGCCCTATGCTTTCTGAGCCCTGGCCTGTCAGGGGGAGGGCTGTGCTGCCTGCTCCCACAGGTGAGAGCAGAATTAGGCTCAGCCAGGGCAGGGATCCCCAGTGCTTGGGCTCTCCAAATGAACAGTCTGTAGGAGGAAGATAGGGACCCTCTGCCCTGCGATGGAGCTTCCCTCAGAGCCCTGCCAAGCCCTGCAACAAAGGGCCAGTCTGCTCCCATGGAGGATGCAGAGTGGCCGGGCTGATTTCCCTCTCTCCCACAGTGGCATCAAGACAGTGTGTGCCCATCCTTGCTGACGAGATCTATGGAGACATGGTGAGTGTCAGTTGCAGTCCTTTGCATCCCCATGCTGCCTGTCCTTTCTGATACACTGGCCTGTTGGCCATGGCAGCCAGGTGTCCAGAGGTGAACAACAGCTCCACTCCCCTCTACTGTGGTTGGGTCCATGCCTGGAGCTCCAGTCCTCTGGTATGCAGTCCTGGGGGTACCTTTCATGTACAGCTCCTTTCCTTTTCCCAAATGGCTCACTTTGATGGGAGTGAACTTACCATGTTCATACCCTGAAGCTGGGAGCTTTCACCATCAACTTCCTGTCACTTCCCTGCCTCCCTTCTTGTTGTGCCTCGTGCACAGCCCCACAGGTCTCACAATAAGAGGTGGGCACAGCCCTAACACAGCCTCCTGTCACAGGTGTTTGCTGACTGCAAGTATGAACCCATCGCAACCCTCAGCACCAACGTGCCAATCTTGTCCTGTGGTGGCTTGGCAAAGCGGTGGCTAGTCCCTGGCTGGCGGATGGGCTGGATCCTAATTCATGACAGGAGAGACATCTTTGGTAATGAGGTGAGAACTGCTGAGTGTCGCTGTCACGGCAACAGACCTGCAGCGGCTTCAGTATGTGGATCACCAGGGCTTTGACTGATACAGGCATGTACTGCTCATTTGCTCTCACATGGGAGTCACCCAATTGCTTACATGATTTTCTGCACCTCTAGGCTTTTCATGTCCCTTCCTTACTCCGTCTGCTTCCATACTTGGCCTTCTACCCCCATATACACTGTAACACACTTGTCTCTGCTGCTCCTTCCCATAGGCCTTGTCCTTTTTGTGTGCTTCTAATTCTTTCTCTTCTCAGATAGCTCCAGTGTGCACTGAAGGTATTGCATGGCTTATCCAGCATATGGAGCCCATGTGTGGTCTCTATATGCTTTTATATGGTTTCTCTTAAAAGTAAGTACAAAGCACCTTGCAGTGCTGCCAGTGCTTTATCTGGCCATTTGTTCAGCTGTGTTACAAGAACAACCATCTACTGCAGTGACCTTTCCACCTAGAAGGCATTCTGCAGAGGAAGAGGGAGAAGAGAGGACCAACTGAGTGAGCAGAAGAGCTAATGTTGGTTGTCCCTACCTGACTTTGAAAGTGTGGATTGTGGGCCTAAACCTAAGGGAAATGCAAAGTGGTATTTGGGACAGCTCTGGCTTTATTTGTATTAGCTATATTCCAGCATCGGTTGAGTCAGATCAGGAAGCTCCAAAGGTTGTCTCTGTTGACATGACAATCTGCAACTGAGGAACAGAGAATGACACTGTACATAGTCTACAGATACCTGGCATATAGTCAAGAGAATGTTCTTTAGTACTCTCCATGCTCACTTAGAAGGCGGGAGGACAGCTATAGAAATACAGAGTAGGCCTTGGAGCTGTCCCTTTCCTTCAGGGAAGCACAGTCTGAGCCACAAATATCACCATGTTTTTTTCAGATCAGGGATGGCCTTCTAAGACTGAGTCAAAGGATCCTAGGACCCTGTACAATTGTCCAAGGAGCACTGGAACGTATCTTGCACCGAACACCTCCTGAGTTCTACCACAACACCCTCAGCATCCTCAAGGTAAACAGGCTGTAACAGGTCAGCACAGTTTGTTCATGGATTGTTTGGAGGGAGACCTATCTCTCTAGCTCATCATCCCTGCTTCAAGGTGCAGTTCTGTCTGTGTCTAGAAGAGTCCAACAAATCCAATTCCAGCAGGAGACATAGTGACTGGGGCAAAAATATTTGCTGTGATAAGTTTCAGGCAGCCCAGACCCGCAGCTGGAGCTGGTGACCCAGGGGATGGGATGTTTGGCACTGACTTGCTGAGCTCAGCTCAGTCATACCTGCTGTCCTCAAGGCCATGATCACCCATGCTGTTTGCATTTGTTGTCCCTTTATTTGCAGAGGGCAAACCTGTTTATAGTTTTTGTCCAGAGCTTGGCTACCGTTTGCTGAGCTGCTTCGTGGAATTTCTCCTGTTTTGAAATTTCTCCTTTCTGCTTTTCAGTCCAATGCTGACCTTTGTTATGCTGCCTTATCAGCTATCCCTGGCCTCCAGCCTGTCCGTCCCGCTGGAGCCATGTACCTCATGGTAAGCGAGAAGTGACATGCCATTTCCAGATCATCAACACTCACACTTGGTCTCCTTGCCAGTGCTTGTCAATGGTTTCAGGTTGGTGGTTGGCACCAGGTCTCCATTACCATGCACTTTCACATTGCCCTGTGTGGTAGATGCATCCCTTGGTCATTTTAGAAGGCCAGGATATTTTGTGCACTTCTCACGTAGCAGAGGCTTGTACATTTCACCCACTTGCTCCTGCACAGAACTCAGTGACTTGAACTTTAGGAGACAGTGTTGTTTTACCTGGCTGTGAAGCCTGCTGGTAATGGGAAGCCCATACACCACAAGCCAGATTATCTCCTGTTGAAGATGTAGCCTCCTTCCTACTAGCATGTCTGTTTTATGCCTGTGCTGTTGCCTATTTTCCTGCCTTTTTCCATACCTGTTATTTTTGGAACTTTTTATGATGTGGTGAAATTTCCTTTTTCATCTCAACAAAGCGCAATTGAGACATTTAAGTCTATCAACACATTTTTAATTTATTTGTGTGTGTCTCAGTGTCTCCAGTTTCTCATCAGCTTCTAAAAATGTGGACCCGGAACTGGAGAATACTACAGTATCAGTCTCACTCATTTTCTACAGATAAGCCTTTATCAGTTGACCCTGTTTCCAACCTTACCCAGCGTTACACAGGTCATTCTGCTTATGTTTTTTGTGTAGAGGCACAGCTTTAAGATGCTTTCACACCTATTGTATTTCTGCAGTATCTGAACATTTATTTCAAATTAAAACATCTGGTGAAATTTTTCTTCCACTAGCTCTTTCAGTACTTCTCCATGCAAATTATCTCTCACCTGGTTTGTTTAAGAATATTTTCACAAGATGTTTAAAATAATCTTTGGCTATAAACAAATGGCCAGGATATTGCTGTCCTTATGTGATAAAGGGACAGCCTCCTTCTTTCCAAATACAGAACAGAAATACTTATTGAACATTTCAGCATTTCCATGTCATTTTACCAATTGTATCATCCTGCAAGGATTTATTTTGTTCATGATATTCTAGAACTTGCATCTTTTTTTTTTTAAACAAAAACATTAGTTTGTCTTTTTCTTACTGTATGGATTTCTTGCATGACAGAATTATTAACGCATATTGACTAGCATTCTCTCCCAAGTTCTTTTTCAGTATCTTATTTATTCCTTTTCACTTCTGATTGATTACTGTATGTTTGCCATCAGATTCTTCACTAAAGTTTTCCTTGTCTGAAATTCCAGCTTTAGGCAGTTAGTGAATACTTCTTAAAGAAGCCCTAATTTTCATTTATATGTTTCTGTTCATGTCTTACACTCCAGTCAGCCCAAATCATGAGCAAAAATTGAGGGGAGACAGCTGCACTTGGCTGGGAAATTTTTGGGCCATGTGGGTAAGCACAGACACTGCAGATAGTTTTGGTGCCCTTAGTTGCCATGTTATATTCCTCTGCTGCAGGTTGAGATTGAGATGGAGCATTTCCCTGAGTTTGAAAATGATGTGGAGTTCACAGAGCGACTCATCTCGGAGCAGTCTGTGTTCTGCTTGCCAGCCACGGTGAGCCTAACACTGAGAGCCCCAGGGAGCTGTGGGGCCAAAGCTTGGGGAGAGAAACAAGAGGGGTTTGCAGCTCTGAGCTCTGGGGACAGGTTGGAAGCTGTGTGTGCAGTGTCCATTTTGTGTAATGGTGTGTACGTGCTGGCTATGAGCTCCAAGTGCAGTGTGGAGGGATGGGGACTGGCAGTCTCGGGCTCACTAACAGCCCTCATTCAGGCTGCCAACGATCTTCCCAGCTCCAGGCTTGCTCTGTATTTCTCAGGTTGGCAGAGCTGTATCCCTAAACCCTATGTACCCCCACACCTCCTTGCTGAAGCCGCTCCCTCAGAGGCCTGGGACTGCTACCGCCTATGTTCCCTCCTTCACCCTGTTTCCAGTCCCCCACTCCCGTAGGCACTGGGACAGACTACAGGCTGAGAACATCTGTGCCCTGTGCCCACCTCCTTCCAGCTCCACCTCCAGCACTGATACGGACAGGGCCTTGGATACTCTCCAGCCCTCTCCTTCCCTAGCTCCTTCCAGCCCATTCCCTAGGTCCTGCATAGTCCATGCAGAGTCCTTTGGCCTGTCACCCTCACAGCATCATGCCTACACAAATGGAGATGGGACATTTGCTTGGAACCGAAAAAACAGTCTAAGGGAGCAAGAGCCCAGCCCTGCTGTCCTCCAGTCTGTCCCACACTGATCATTTTCACTCACTGACAGTGCACATGGCCCCAGGGCAGAGCTCTGAAACTACACCCCTACCCCAGATAATCTGACAGCTTCATCCTTTCTCATTTCAGTGCTTTGAATACCCAAACTTCTTCCGCGTGGTGATCACCGTGCCTGAGGAGATGATCTTGGAGGCCTGCAGCCGCATTCAGGAGTTCTGTGAGATGCACTACCAGGGTGCTGAGGGGGCCCAGGATCTGGAGTGTGACAAGTAGCCACAGCTGGCCTCCTGCCTCTGCCAGGCTAGACCTTGTGTGAGGCAGCAGCCAGGCAGGCAAGGCTGCTTCCAGCCAGCCCCACATCCCCCTGCCTGCAAGCAGCCGCTGTCTTCCTGCTGCTTCACTCTTTGTGCTCCACAGACCCCTCAGCACTATGGGAAGAAGCAGCCACTTCCCTCTCCTCCTCCACTGCAGCTTGCACACCCTCTGGCATCCCGTGCCTGTGGTCTCCATATACTCTGCATTTGCACCCTGTGTTGGTCTGTGCTGCCCGCAGAGCAGCTTCAGGCAGGGGCACGTAGCTGCTCCTGTGCCAGGCCCCATGTTGCCAGTAGCTCCTGTGCTGGCTGCGCTTCCCTTTGGGGACAGGAGAAGGCCACGGTCTTGGAGGACAAGAGAAAACTACCCACCTATCCCTTACCTGTGTTACCTTAGGAGGCCAGAGCTCTTTATACCGAGCCCTTTGTGTGACAAAGGGAGTAAGTTATTGTGACTTTTTTTTATTAATAAACATTCTGACATGCCAGTCTTGCACTGTGCTCCTGTTGCGCCAGCTCTGGCTTGGCCACTGTGTGGGTCACCCTCGCTCCACCCATGGTGCTGCGGTGCCCCAGACCTGCTCTGCCTTGCAGCTGGCAGTTCAGGGCCTGCCCTGTCACCAGCAGGGACATGGTGAGAGCACCTCAGACCCTCCAAGGCACCCACCAGACCCTGAGGGTGGGATGGGCTCTGCAAGCCTGGCACAGACCAGAGCCGGCCACTCCTGCCCCGCTGATGCCGGAGGCTCGTTGTGGCAGCTTGACCCTTTCCCCACAGAACAGCCCTGTCTGTGCCCGCTCGTTGGCCCTCACAGCCCCTTCCTGCCCCCAACAGAGCGGCGGGTTATGGGGCCCACTGGTGTGGCAAGGCACTGCCCCCTGGCGCGGAGCCAGCCATGCCAGGTGCTGGTGCCTAAGTGTTCAAGGCCAGGGCAACATGCTACGTGGGATGTTTGTGACACACCAGCAGTGCCAGAGTTAATGATTGCTGAATACAACAGCTCCGTAGAGTAATAAGGAACAGGCGGCCTGGTGTCTGTTCAGTCCATGGAAACAGGAGTGCCTGTGCAGTCAACAGGAAGTAACGGCCATCGGATTGCCTCTTCTAGTGAGCTGCTTCGGGAGCAGTCCCTGAAACTGGCAGAGGCACGACTTGCAGAGTGCCTTATGTCATCACCTACAGCTCTGTTCACCTGTCCTCCTGCGGAATCGGGACCCACAGGTCAACCCTGCCTCCCCAATGACAGGAAAAGTGAGCTAACTCTAGGATACACACTGCAAGACCTCTTGACACATTCTGTAGATGTGTCTCATTGCCTGTGCAGGACAAAGTTTGGGTACTAGTACTCCATTAGAGCGGAGGTATCTATGAGAAAGGTAGCAGTGTATGAAAAGGTCACCAACACATTAGCTGAGTGTCCCTGCTACATCCCTTCCCTTCAAAGAAAGTAATTCCAGAACAAAAAGAAAGACATAAAAGTTGGGGCTGTGGGAGAATGGTAGATGGCTTTAGAGATTTCACGCCATTAGACCTCCAAATAGAATCAAATAACCTGAGCTGCTTGAGACCACCTGAGCTTTTAGAGAAAGCTGCTCTTTTCAGACTGCTCTCCCTTCATGGACCCCTTTCCTTTCAGAGATGCCCAAGAGGTGTCTGTTAACATGCAAATATTCTGCAATGATTAACACTGTTCTGTTTCTTCTTAGCCCAGCAGCATTTGGCGAGGGATGCTGAGAAAGTCAGAGACATAGGTAAATATATGTATCTCATAAAGATATTTAGATTTCTCAAGTCCACATCCTCTGTTAACATCTTTTGCAAATATAACACTGCCTTTTCACCACGCCTAGGTTTTCCCTGCTGCAAGCGCAAAGTAGCATTAAACCACAAACGTGCTAGTATCATTTTTCAGGCATTATACTCACAGATGCTTTATGACACAGCGTGAGTGTACCCTAAAGCACCCTGCCAGCCACACAAACTAGCCTAAGCTGGTGTTTGGAGGTGCTTTGTACCAAAGAAAGCCCCTTCAACACTGAGACAAAGGAAGAAGCCAGGGCACAGATCTGGAGCTGCTCTTTCTCAGATGCTCCAACAAGGTCTGCAGTGCTCTGGTAGAACTCCCTCAGTGCCTTTATGGTGGATCCACAGCCATCCTCCCTGTCTTAGCTGGGGAGCACCAGCTGCATATGCCGGAGCAGGCTTGCAATGTGCTTCTGCTCTTCTCTGCGCTCTCTGGGCTGGCCATGTTTAGGAGGGGGGTGACCTACCCCAGACATGGGGACTGAGGCAGTGAGGCAACCGCATGCCTAGTGCTTTCCCTGGGAAAGGAAGGAACTTCTCAGCTCGTGGGCAAATGAAGGTGAAATCCTCAGCTTCCAAAGGAGCTGGCAGCAGGGCCCAACCCAGCAGGGCCAACTGTAGCACTACAGGCAGGTTGGGGCAAATCACAGCTGCTAGCAGTGAGGCCATCAGCTCTCCCAGGTGCCTCAGGAACCTGGATGCAGCTGAGCCCTTGGCCATGGCCTTGCCCACTCTCTCTTCTAGCAGCTCTGACTGGCCTCAGTGGAGCTGCAGCCTGGAACAGTTCCAAGGGTTCTCCTGCCGTGGTCCTTGGCCATCAGAGCCTGTCTGAACCAGCCTGCTTTCCACCACCACATAGCTGCTTTGTACACCTGCAGTGGGAAGATGTGGTCTGCCCTGAGCTGGACCCAGGTCGGTTGCAGGTGGGCAGTCTGGGGATGACTGGGCAAACAAGGGCCCAGTCTGCCGGGGAGCTCAGGTGAGGCTCCAGCATCGCATGGGAGTGGGAGGAGGACCACGGGCAAAGCTTCTTTATACAGCAGGGCTAGGATATAACCTCATTTTGCCAGGCTGTGCAGGCCTGTCAGAGGCCAGACGAGCTGACCTGCTTGGGTGGCATTTTCCATGAGGGCTGGAGGAAGGAAATACTTGGTGCATGGCAAAGGGAGGCACTGGTAGGTTTCCATAAAGAGGAGAAGTGGCCAGGGAGAGATTGTGGATGTGAGGGGTGGAGGCAGCAGTGGGCTGGGAGACAATATCTTCCTGAGGTGACTGGGAGGAATTTTGCAAAGCAGACTGTGAGAGGGTAGAGGAGCTCTGGAGGAGAAGGAAGGCTCAGCATGGGCAAAGTCTTGCTATTGCCAGGACAGCATGAAAGACACAGCCTGAGCAGGGTTACAGTTGCTGGAAGGCATGTAAAAGCTGGCTAGCTAAGCTTAACAACTGGTCAGAACCAGGTTGGGGTTCTATCTTTTATACTGGCCTTCAGCCTGGGATACCAGTACTGGGGAAGCCTTCTGAGGGATAGAAGCCCTGGATTTTCCTCATGGTTTGGTGTCTGGCATGGGCTCTCTCACAGTGCTGGGAACCCAGACCTCTACTAGCCCTTTGCTTTGTCATGTATTGTCTTCCATTAGTTTATTTGACTTGGGTCAGTGTTCCCTGAAGCCTTGCCAGAGCAAACAGGTGCTGTCAATAGGTCTGAATGACTTATTTCCTGGACGCCTGACAGAAGCTGTTGGTGCTAGCATAGGGTCTTCTGCACTCTGCTGCATTGTGTGGACTATGTGCGCTTCAGCTCTGCTTATTGCTGTTGTTCCCCTCAACCTAGCTAGCTGTTCTCCAAGCTTCAGTCCGTGTGCTGATTTCTGGTTTTAGGCTGTCTATGTATGTAAAAAAGGCAGAAGCTGAGCAGTGAAATGAATTCAAAAGCTGAACAAGTACTTTTTTTTTTTCCTTACTGTATTTCTCTTTTCTGTAATGTGTTGGTAAAGAATTACGTGACTTCATTCTTAGAACCTTATTTACCTAAGCTTCTTTCTCTCCTGTTTTCCCATTCCCTGACCACTTGAGATATTAGAGTGCTATAATACAATGAAGCCAATGTATGAGTGTTCCCATTGCATTATTTTGTAAGATATGAGAACACGGTACAGTGAGGTGCTTCCTGGGTTACGGATCCCTGCTTCCTGCTGTTGAACAGACAGCTCTAGAGCAGAGATGTTTTACTCACCCAGCCATGGTAGAATACCTTGTTATGTCATTCTGTAAGAAAATGAAAAGGCAGATAAAGGGAAATAAAATCAGTTAGTAGATGGGTTGGTAGTAAGGAGAAAACAGTAATATTAACTCAGGTATATGGAAAGGTAGGTGATACTGGAGACCAGTCAGGAAATGGAATAATGTAAGGCAGATACGGCCAAGATGTTTGTTTACTAATGCAAGGAATCTGCAGTAAAATGCAGGCACTACAACTCCCGATACTGGTTGTAGAGTGGGGGAAACTTACAAACTGCCAAAGATTGGCCTTCGTGAATGGAACATATGTATTCAAGGACATACAATGTTCACGAAGGGTAGAAACACAAGTGAAAGTCATGCGACAAGTAAGTAATGATGGGGTAAAAACCACAATTGCTTGTCTGAAAATCTCTTTGTAGAGAACTTAGAAGAAAGCACGATGGAAGGTCTTATTGGCCCTTTGTGTCTACAAACACAGTTCTCCATTGAATTAGAATAATAAATACAGTGAGGGACTGTGATTATGGAAGACTTTCAGCTTTTCAGGTAGAGACTGGAAAACAAACATTACTACTACTAGTAAGAATCAAGTGTTCCTGATGTGAGAGGGCGTTTTGTTCAGTGAATTAGTGAGCTAATAAGAAGTGACACTACTTTAAAATTGTTTTGGCAAGCAGTCATCATCTTACGTAATAGAGTAATGGAAAATAACCTCTAATCGTGTGAACACAAACTGGATCAGTTTCAATTATGGTGTCTAGGTCTTCACGTTCAACTCTGTAGTCTGGAACAAGGGGAATAGTTGTTTGCACTCAGCAATGGTGATTTCCTGGTACTTGCCAATGGCTTGCAATCTACCTAAATGTCTTCTGCTGGTCCAAACTGCTGCATCCTCAATAGCAACATTGGTTCTA